ATGTGGCAGCTATTAACAAAAGCCCCTAATGAATTCCAAAATATGCCTTTTATGGGAGCTTTCTCATAAGCAGCAGGCATACATGTTACTTAAACTGTACATACAAATATGCATTTGGTATTTTAATTCCACAGATATTTGATGAACACTTGCTCCGTCCCAGGCTCGCTAGCCAGCCTGCATGGAACGTTTCTTTCTGTGCAACAGACATAACACCAAGGAGCCTCAGGACATGGACCCCAAACCTAGCCGTTTCTCTTCTCAGATGTCAAAGGGAGAAAGAAAAAAAAAAAAACTTGACCAACACCTCCTTCCTGAAGGTTTGAGGCCCAAGAAAACCAGTTCATTTTCACCTGGATTGTCCTAATTATCTACGATATTCCTATTCCTTTTAACAGCCCGTCCGTGGTGATGTTAATTATTGTCATTTAGCATCCACTGCATGGATTTATTTTTTATCTTTTCACACATCTTCTTTAATTGGATATGAATTCCACAAAGAAGAATCCTTTTTCTTTTTTTTTAAATATATTTTATTGATTTTTCACAGAGAGGAAGAGAGAGAGAGAGAGAGTTAGAAACATCGATGAGAGAGAATCATCGATCAGCTGCCTCCTGCACACCCCCCACTGGGGATGTGCCTTCAGCCAAGGTACATGCCCTTATCCGGAATCGAACCTGGGACCTTTCAGTCCGCAGGCCGACGCTCTATCCACTGAGCCAAACAGGTCCCAGCAAGAATCCTTTTTCGTTAAAAGTTGCTGTACATGTAATAATGTGAGGCATCTAATATGAATCTACAAATAGCTTTAATTAATTGAGAAACCAAGTGTCAGTTTTGTTTTTTGTTTCTATATTTAATTTCTTTCATCCCTGGGAAACCTCACAAATTCAATCAATTATTTATAAACCATATTCTAAAGAGACAATTCTACCTCAAATTCAAAGGTAGAATTCAGCTGATGGACATCTAGCTCATATTCTTATGTGCTTTTATTTAAAAGAGAAGTTATCAAATTCTGGGTTACATTAAACTTTGATGTTTTTTGCTGTCTCATAATGTGGCCATCACAGTTACTTAATGGAAGTTAGCCTTGGTAGCTTAAAGAATCATGAAGAACATGATGTGATTTAATGTAACTGACATTGGCTCCATGAAGTATTAGCACTGGCTGTATGGAGGCTAAGATATTTTTGCTTCATAGCGCAGCTCATCAACATTTTATTCCATATTTATTTATTCGTGCTCAGTTGCATACTTTGTAATCAAATAGAATAAAATAAGGAAGGCCTGTCACAGGTCAAGTTGTAATGTGGAGCAAGACACTCAATTTGCCTTTCATGCCTTAGCTGTAAGAAGAGAGAGCTTACTTAGACTTTCTGTCTATCACAGTTATGCCTGCACAGATATTTTGTGATCTAAGGCAGTTTCTTATCATGGGGATCTCTTCCAACCTTTCTGCTCGTTAGTGTTTTGAAATTAGTGTTAGTGACCTCAGAGGCCAGCGTGCCAGTGGTTGGGACACATCTCCCAGGACTGACTGTGGCCTCACACAAGGTGCTTTACCCCCCAGAACTTCATGGAGCTGTCCTAAGGATTGAGTGGGGTTATGGAGTAAAAGCTCAAAACTTTGCCTTGCACATACTAAGAATGCAGTAGGAAGTGTCAGTTAGCTATTGGTATACTAAGGAACTTTCTCATTGAACATCCTTTAATTACCTAGCACCAACCTTGACAAGCTTGGCAATGAAAGCGTTCCTGTTTTGTTTTGTTTTTGTTGTTTATTTTCTTTTCACAAGAAATAAATCCATTTAAAAGCTGTGATCTCTAGCCCAGTTGACACAGCTCAGTGGTTGAACCACCTATGAACCAGGAGGTCATGGTTCAATTCCCAGCCAGGGCATATGCCCAGGTTACAAGCTCACTCCCCAGTGTGGGGTGTGCAGGAAACAGCCGATCAAAGATTCTGTCTCATCATTGATGTTTCTATCTCTCTCCCTCTCTTCAATCAATAAAAACTGAAAATTAAAAAAATGTTATATATATATATATATATATATATATATATATATATATGACATAGTATGGATTTACTGTCATTTTTAGGCATTCCCAGTAGTCCCTGAATTTTGTTCCTGTCAATAGTTTGCAAAATGGGGCAAGGCGTGTGTCTTTCCAAAAAGACACATAGAACAAAACAAATCACCATAACGGTAGGGGACATCGCTGAAAAGGGAGAAAATAGCTTCCCTGAAGAATAGAACCGGAGTTCTTCCAGAAGGGAAGAAAAAACCCGATGACCCTGCTGAAAAGGAAAACAGGCTGAGGAAGATGCTTACAGCCCACTCGGTCCTTCTGATGCCCTGCCCTCCACGTGGGACCCTCCACTCTGCCACTCAGTCACCTGAAAGTCTCCCCATGGCTGCATCTTTGGCAGTGTGCAGAGCTGATGCTAACACCAGAGAACAAGGCATGAGTGGCTGAGGTTAAGTCTCCTTTAATCTCATCGACATTGCCAAAGCAAAACCCCCGGATTTTCTATCCATAGAAAGACTTTTCCCTTATTTGATCTCTAAATTCCCTATTGATCTCTAAATCCTATAAATTCCAAGGGTGAGGATCTCCCTAGTAATAAATACCTCACAACAAGATAGGTGTCTTGGATATTTGATATTTCTGGAAATGAAGATTGATGCTTTTTCCTTAGGCTGATCTTTAACAGGGGTTCATTGAGCCTTTCTCTCTCTCTCTCTCTCTCTCTCTCTCTCTCTCTCTCTCTCTCTCTCTCTCTCTTCTCTCTCTCTCTCTTTCTCTCTCTCTCTCTCTCTCTCTCTCTCTCTCTCTCTCTCACACACACACACACACTCACACACACACACACACATGCACACACGCACACATCAAAATTAGTTACCATATGTCTATTTTTCCTACTCCAACTGTAAGGACTTTGCTCCTTGAAGAAGGGGAGAAACTTGTGGATGTCTTGTGAGATCAATGGCTGTAGGGTAGACGGCGTCAAATCCCAGTGGATCAGACAGATTTATAAAGCATTTCCAGTACAAATCAGTATCCTCATGCTAACTGTATTTTATACATGAATAACTGAGGTGAATGGGAACCAGAAGTCCAACTTCCTAAAATATTTTTAGAGTCTCCACAAACAGTAGAACTAGACATTTATACTACAAGTCTTTTGTAAGTATCTCATTCTAAACTCTGTTTTGTAAAATAATGGTAGTGATAGGTAATATGCTGGAAACTGAATGTCTAACCCTCTCATGTCAGAGAGGTTTAGACCCCTTGACCCGAAGCCCACAGTAACTAACAGAGCAGCTACCTTTGTCTGAGGACCTCGTATGTTTTCTGGAAGCTACCATAGTCCTCTCTGCAGCCCGGGAACCAGGAGTGGTTCATAGAGGAAGGTTCTGGGCAGTGAAGAAATGACAGAGATTTGAAGTGGAAGAGGCCGAGAAAGCAATTTACGCTTTTTGACTCCCAAAGTAAAACAAAGCAGATGAACTCCAACTATTCTACCCAAATTCAAAGAGTGTTTTAGTCTCATTGATCACCAGTCTCTTTAAGGGCAACATGAGTCTGTCTTCAGAAAAGAAAACAATTACATGATGATTTAGAATTATCATAGATGGATCTAGTAACTTTGTTGACAGTTCCACAGCTCTCATTTTCCTTTTCTTTTTCTTTTTAGCTTTGTTGAGGCATAACCTATAATAATAAAAGTGTAATATGCAGCCGAGACCGGTTTGGCTCAATGGATAGAGCATCGGCTTGGGGACTGAGGAGACCCGGGTTCGATTCCGGTCAAGGGCATGTACCTTGGTTGCGGGCATATCCCCAGTAGGGGGTGTGCAAGAGGCAACTGATCGATGACTAACTCTCATCGATGTTTCTGGCTCTCTATCTCTCTCCCTTCCTCTCTGTACAAAATCAATAATATATATATATATATATATATATATTTAAAGTGTAATATGCAGACCAACTGAATGGCCAAATAGCGGAACGACCGGAGGACCATGCTATGATACCCACTGGTGCCAGGCCAGCCAAGGCGGGCGCAATGCGATTGGTCGGGGAGCCCACCATTGCCCCATGATCACCCCAAAGAGGGAGGCCCAGGCTACCCCACAGCACACAGGGGCAGGTGGGCGGGGCCTCCCTCTGTTTGGGAGAGGGGATGATCCATTGCGGCCCCAGTCTGGTGGGCAAGGCCTACCTTTTGGGGGCAATGGATGGGGGGCTCCCCGACTGTGAGAGGGCTTAGGCCAGGCTGAGGGACTGACCCTTTCCCCCCTCCCCCCCGCACCTAGGCCTCTAGTTGACAAATAAAATTGTAAGATATTTCAAGTATACCTTGTGCTGATTTGATATATGTATATGCTGTGAAAGAATTGTTTACAGCTAATTAGTAACATCTGTTACCTCGGATATTTACCCGTTTTTGATGAGAACATTTAAGTTTCACTCTCTTACCAGATATCAATTATATATTGCAATATTATGAACTATAGTCATCATATCGATAGTTTACCTTACATTCTCAGAATTTATTCATCTGATAACCGATAGTTTGTGCCCTTTCAACAACCTCTCCTTATTTCTCCCCTCTTTCACCATCCTTCCAACCTCCCACCCTACCCCCACCACAGTCCCTGGTAACCACTTATGTCCTCTGGTTCACTTAGCATAATGTCCTCAAGGTCTATGTTATTGAAGATGGCAGGAATAGTATCTCTCTCGTGCCTAAATAATATTCAATTATATATCACATCCATATCTTGGCGATTGTGGATAATGCTGCAATTAACAGAGGAGTGCAGATATCTCTTTGATTTCCTCTTATTTCCTTTGAATATATACCCAGCAGTGGGATTGCTGGCTCACATAGCTTTCTGATTTTTAAAAATTTTGTAATAATATTATTTGATGTTTCTTTCTAATAATACCACAATTTTGTAATTTTTGTTTTCTTTTTCAGGCTCTCCCAGGTATTTCAGAGAAGGAAATGGCTGGTAAGTGGAAATATGGTTTATTTTTTCCTTTTTATCTATTTTAAAATGAAAATTCATCTTCATGTAGACATTTCATTAAAACTGTGTTGATCTCATCAATATTTGTACAGATATTATTGTTGAATTACTGATAAGTTGTGTTGCTCAAAATGTAAAATATATATATGTGGTTTTCTAATATAGTATTTCATCTACTAGAATGAGATTTATGCTTCTTGTAGCCCTATTAGTGTTTGTAGAATGAATGACAGCAACCACAACTTTTTTCTGGAGGGAAAGAATGAGATGTTGTTTACTGTGTGGAGAATGGTCTTTGGAAATTGGTTGTTAGTAATTATCAATATTTGGTTTTTAATCCTAAGTAGCTTGTTTAGTAGTCAAGGGAAAAGATGTACTTCTTTAAAGCTGAGGCTATACCACCAAAATTTTAATTCTAAAGCAATAGGAAAATTATATTGGAAATAATTATAATATTTTATGTGTTCTGTGCTATCATTATAACTAAAGTATTGTGGAAAATGGATAAGGTCTGATGAAAAAACATAGAATATGAAAAATCAGTTGAATTGGTAGGATTATGTGTTTTTTTAAAAATCGGTGGCTCTTTCCCAGTATTGTCTTATGTTTCCTGTGTAATAACAATAGGTTTTTATAACACAGATTAAAAGTGTGCTCCCAAGTGTGAAGCACATCACTTAGTTCTTAGACACTTGTGATTTTTAAGAGCCATATTGAAGGTTTATAGTATTATCTAAAAATGGCATGAGTTTGTAGATTTATAATGAAGCTTTGGAGTTGGTCTGAGGTGATTTTTATGCAAGGGATGTTCCCTTTCTAGTTTGAGATCTTATGTTTGCTGCTAGATAGTTTTCACACAAAAGTTTTTATGGTTTGTCTCCTTCCATGGCTTAAGTTTTCTTTTATGTCAGACTCGTTCTAATTTCTTCACGCTAATATGTTGAAAGGTAACCCTTCAGAAGAAGGAAAATACTGAACTGGCATCAGTTAAGAGGAAAGCTGTTGCTCTAACTGGTTTGGCTGTGGATAGAGTTTTGGCCTGTGGACTGAAAGGTCTCAGGTTCGATTCCAATCAAGGGCATGTACCTTGGTTGTGGGCACATCCTCAGGAGGCAGCTGATCGATGTTTCTCTCTCATCCATGTTTCTAACTCACTATCCTTCTCCCTTCCTCTCTGTAAAAAATCAATAAAAAAAATATTTTTTTTAAAGAGGAAAGCTGTTCAATTTAACAATGTAGTGGTATTGCATGGATTAGTAGCAAATATTGAACAAATTTAAATTACAGTTCCAGGGCACTAATATCTTAAATAGCTTGTGTTAGCTATCTAGTAAGGACAAGAAATAAATGGTGAAGTGGTCATTTGCATTGCAAAGGAAACGGAATTCACCTAAGGCCTGGCTGTAACCTTGGTTGTGACATTCTCTACAACTCCCAAGATTAGCTGCAATTTAAACAGAGTGTAAAACAGGGCCAATCTTGTTCCAGAATATCAGCAACTTCTCTCATACCTCAAGGAGGAAATTAAATGTAAATTCATGGCTGGTGGAGAAGGGAAAAAAGGGATGGACCTGTCATTGCTTGAGGGGATGGAGACCACAGAGTTGTCTTCTCCCAGGTCACTTAAATGATTTCAGATTGACAGGGAGAGCCCCTGTTTTTATCAAGCTTCTCAACTATTTTAAAGGTATTATTGTTACAACATAGAACTAATTAAACAGTACAAATATGATGCAACCACCAATTTTTATCATAATCTTAGAAATGTTTCTCCTGGAGGACAACAACAAAATCAATATCATTCTTTATTTCATATCTCTCTCGGTCATTTCTATACTGCTGGGCAACAAACGTAGAGCGTTAATAAATGCCATTCACAGTGCTGCCACAAGATGATCTGGGAATCCCAGACCCACCGGTTGATATGGAGATTGATATGTATGACCATCCCTGGTCCCACTCACCTGGAGGCCCCATCTCAGATGCTTAGGTACACCAGGACGGGATGATTTGAGCAGAACTCTCCTTTTACATATTAAAACATTAGAATGATTCAGGTTTACTCTAGAATAGGTTTCTATTTTGATTCCTTGAGAATGTGCTGATTTGCTTAGGAAGAAATAGAGTTTCGTTTGATAGTATAAATGCAAGAAAGGAATAATATTTTTTAAAACATCAGAGAATTTGTGTCAAAATAAAGGCTTATGTTTGGATATTTAATTAATAATGGTAACAGATTTGACAATTCAAAAGAGAATATTATTTACTCTGCAGGTTTTAAAGGACCATAACAGTCAAAGCAATCTAATTCTTGTATTCCTAAACTCTATTGTGCCCTATTTAAAATATTAAAAAAACAACAACATTTGAGTGTTATAGACAAATGCGAACCTCTTTGCTCCTATCATTATGAATCTCTATTCTTAAGCTCTGCTAGACAGAGGAATGAGGATGAAAGCAGAGGACCCACTCAGTCTTCTGGGGGTTAATTGAGCTCTTAAATAGGATTAAGCTTCCTCCCCGCCCCTGAGGCCTGCCTTTTTTTTTTTTTTTTTTTTTCTGTCTTGCTGAGTGAATGTAGACTATTGTTCCTTCTTGAGAAAGCCTATTTTTAATCGGTGTGACCTCTCATCCAAGCCAACTGGAACCAACGCCACCAGGCTTTGCGAAGCTCTAAACAAAATCATGTTGGTTACATTCCGTTACTAATTCTTGAATTGCAGTTGTATGGCTGCCCTGCATGTCCTTTAAGTGGACATCATCTATTCTGGTCCATGCTGCTGAGTATAGGAAGCCTAGTGGGATGACTGTTGCTGCTGTCTCCCACCTTGTGATGGCAAAAGACTCCAATGGGAAACAACTTTGAAACAGCCTCCGCTCAGTTCATTCACTCCACAAACACTTACTGAACTACAACATGTATGGGGCATCGTATTAGGTTCCCTCAAGAAAGCAATTATTGCCCTGACTGGTTTAGCTCAGTGGATAGAGCGTCAGCCCGCAGACAGGGGAATCCCAGGCTCGATTCTGGTCAAGGGCATGTACCTTGGTTGTGGGCACATCCCCAATAGGGGATGTGCAGGAGGTGGCTGATGGATGTTTCTCTCTCTTGATGTTTCTAACTCTCCCTTACCCTTCCTCTCTGTAAAAAAAAAAAAAAAAAAAAAAAAAAAAAAAAAATCAATAAAATATATTTTAAAAAGAAAAAGGAAGCAATTATGACTAAGGCATGGTCCTTGCCCTAAAGGAACGCAAACTCTAATTGAGAATATTCTATTAGGCTAGCATCCTCCTTTCCCTCTCCTCAGTGTGCATTCCTTAACCCAGCTGATGCAGAAAGCTTCCCAGGGAAAGAAGAAAATAAAATATATACTTTCCAGCAGACTTTCACAGTGTGTGCATTCTCAGGATCAGAAATTCATTTGTTTTTTTTTAAAAGAATCAGAATTAATCACACAAGTATCAATACCTTCAACACATAATGTTTTCAGATAACTTCTGTTACGCAACAAGAGTCTGTGTGCCCTTGACGAGCAGGCCCAATGTCACTGGTATACTTGCCAGCACATCTGCTTTCTGTCTGTATGGCCTTGAGCAAGTTGCTTAACCTCCCCGTTTTCTCCTTTCTTGAGTATAAACAGAGAAGCTGTCACGCCGTTGTAAGGCAACCATGCTTGGCGCAAGCAGGTCCTACAAAATGGTAGCTGCATCTTAATGATAATTAGTTGAGCTTATAACCACCGTGTGTACAAGCCAAATGGAAGCTAGCTGAGCGGCTGCTCTCCTCCAGGTGTCCGTAAGCCCTTCCTCAGGGCACCAGCTAGGAGCTGGCAGCCATAGTATGAAAGAAAGAGATAGCCTTCTCCATCAACTTCTAAGGGAGTTCATCCAGAGGGCGGTTCTCACAAAAGAGACAGGATTGGTCCTATTTGCCCTCTCCTTAGGAATGCCTGTCTCTATTGGACTGAAATTCTCTCTTGTGAGCAAGCAGATCATCTTTGATTTTCACCAGGATTAGTCCCTGAGAAATGCCTCACCTGTATCCTCTTCTCCTATGTCTCCCTGTATCCCAGACCCCGAGGTAACCGGACCCCCTCACCTCCTGCACACAGTCCTGTCAGCACTGCCTTCTCCTCATCCCTTGTCCAGTCTCCCTGCCTCTGCTTTAACACAGCCTCCACTTCCACTGGACTTTCACAACAGTGTCCAGGCAGGTTTCCCTGCCTTACCTATCACTGCATCAGTCCATCTCTCTATACCTTCATCAGGTATCTTTGAAAATCACGACCTGATCATAGAAATTCCTGCTTCAACATGTTCGTTCTCTCCCTACAGGATAAGCACCAACTTTCCTGCTTGATAAGTGTGATCTGGATGCAATGTCATTTACTGCACTAGATCTGTCCATTTTTCTCCTCAGACACACCTCGCCCCACCCTGCTTTTCCTGCTCTGTGCCTTGGAGGCTGATGTCCACACAATCAATGGGTTGCCCTCCCCACAGTCATTCCCATTCTACCAGTGAGGAGCCAGGGCAGGAGATGAAGGTGAGGGGCCAGTGTGGTCTGCTGAGGAGTCACTGCTGGCTCCTCTTAGGTGGCTCTTTCTACACCAGCTTCCAGGTGCTGACAACTGTTCTCTCTTCTTGCCCTCGTGGTTTCCCGACAGCTTTATAAAGAGTTCTGACTAAACGTCCCTCAGTTTACCCAATGTGGCATCCGTTTTCTATACAGGTCTCACTGGTATAACCACCATACCCAGCCAGAGAACCTCTCTCCTAAGTCTATATTTTTCTGCTCTTCATAAATTACATAACTGTCTTTTTAAGAAATAGAGAGAGGGAGAGATGGCTTAGTCAAGAGAAAAAAGAAAAAGAAAATAAATAAAAAAAAGAAAAAAAAGATGGACCATGTTTGCCCTGTATTCATCTCAAGTGAATTCAGTTTCATTTCATTCAGTCACATGGGAGAGAAAAATATCTAC